CACTTCCCCCAAATGCCTACTCTGCAGTGGGCACTATTCTAGATGCTTGGTAGGCATCAGCGAATTAAACAGACAAAGGCACTTCCTTCATGGGTGCTGGTCAGAGGAGGGTTGGGGACAGAAAATAAATAACAAACATAATGAGTGAGTTACACAGTATGTTAGAAAATCATAAGTGCGATGGAAAAGGGGCAGCAGGGAAAGAGGTTTGAGAAAAAGTGTGTGTGGTTGCAACAGTAAACAATGTGGTCATGGTGGGTCTCTTTAAGAAGGTGACATTTGGGGGCACCTGGGTGGCTCAGTCGTTAAGCGTCTGCCTTTGGCTCAGGTCATGATTCCAGGGTCCTGGGATCGAGCCCCGCATCGGGCTCTCTGCTCGGCAGGAAGCCTGCTTCTCCCTCTCCCACTCCCCCTGCTTGTGTTCCCTCTCTCGCTGTGTCTCTCTCTGTGTCAAATAAATAAATAAAATCTTTAAAAAAAAAAAAAGAAGATGACATTTGAACAGACTTAAAGGACGAGTGAGCCATGGGCATTCTGGAGTTAGAAGAACATTCCATGCACAGAGACTGGTCCATCCATAAGGCCTGAGGCAAAATACTGCTGGAAGTTGTACGTATTTCCAGAACAGATTTTGTGATCTACTTTACTTTTCATCATTTTACTCCCTAACACCTGCTTATTTGTAAGCAAAGGAATGTGTGTCTGCCAGATTTATTGTTTTTATTTATTTATTTATTTAGATTTATTGTTTTTTAAGTACAGTCTCAATTGTCTATAACTCAAATACCTGGAAACTTCATATATCCATAATATACATGAGCACTATCAGAAAGAAAGAAAGAAAAAAGAAGGAAGGAAGGAAGGGAGGAAAGGAAGGAAAGAAGGAAGGAAAAAAGGGAGGGAGGGAGGAAGAGAGAAAGGAAGGAAGAGAGAAAGGAAGGAAGGAAGAAATGGTCTCTGAGGACCAAAACACCACTTAGAGAAGAGGTCTCAGGCCTTCACTTATGGCTTTTATATAAAATTTGATAAAGCTTGGTTAACTGACCGAAAGGAAGGCATTTGAAGAGAATTTTGGCAGGATCAGTCCTGCCAATCAGATCTACAGACAGCAGTGAAAATTGACACTGACGGCTTGCCAATGAGGAGTCGACAAGATGAGTCAGCATTCAAGAGGCACTGAGGCCAGAAGGTCACACTCAGAGTGCAGCAGCCATCCACCCTCCCTACAGGGCTCTGATACCACCACCTTGGAGCGCATGGTGGCCATCAACTCAAAATGGCGACCATAACCCTCCCCCAAAAGTCTAGTAACAGTAATGATCCGCTTCAAAAGTTGGAGGAAGGATTTTAGAGTATTTTAATTCACATGCATTACAAACTTTCAAAAGCTTTGTTGATTATAAAGAATTTTCAAATATACGGAAAACTTGAGCATCCAGGAAGCCTTATTCACAGAGAATACCAGTGAGGCAAAATCTTTTGGCACCAATTAAGGTGATAGTTATAATTAAAGTTGAAAGGGGTATGGGTGGTCTGACTATTTATCACTGCTAGCAGAATTGCTCATCATCTTACCATTCTATTGCATATGAGTGTGTTTTCTCTCTTAAGAAAGCAAGATGTGTGAACATCTGAATATAGGTATTTTAGATTACAAATTTGTATAAAATTCTATTTTTAGACCATAAAAATATTTTGTTTTTTAAAAGCATTTATCAATTTCACAAAAAGAGTCACCACAAAGTATATTTTTCCTTCCTCTGGTTGATTTTTTTTCCTTTAACTTATTTTTTTTTTAAGATTTTATTTCCTTATTTGACAGAGAGAGACACAGCGAGAGAGGGAACACAAGCAGGGGGAGTGGTAGAGGGAGAAGCAGGCTTCCCACTGAGCAGGGAGCCTGATGCGGGCCTTGATCCCAGGACCCTGGGAACATGACCTGAGCCTAAGGCAGACGTTTAACAACTGAGCCACCCAGGTGCCCCGTTTTTGTTTTTTTTTTTTCCTTTAACTTAGAAAATTTTAATTTACCCACAACTTGCCAGGCAAAAATCTGTTGTTACATAAGGAAATTATATCAGCATAAAATGTAATCATAACACACCAGAGAACATTCATTTCATGAAATGGGCCTCCAACTCCAGAAGGTGCCCTGGCTTTAAGAATTAAAAGTCCAGGCGCCTTGGTGACTCAATCGGTTAAGCATCTGCCTTCGGCTGGGGCCATGATCCCAGGGTCCTGGGATCCAGTCCCACATCAGGCTCCCTGCTCCGCGGGAAGCCTGCTTCTCCCTCTCCCACTCCCCCTGCTTGTGTTCCCTCTCTCTCACTCTATCTCTGTCAAATAAATAAATAAAATCTTAAAAAAAAAAAAAAAGAATTAGAAATCCATTTTAGGCACATAGGGATATGAATGCCAGAGGGTTGTCTTCTAACAAACAAAATTAGTATTCATAGTGCTTAACTGCAAGTTTTTTTTTTTTTAATTAGGCTAGCAATTATCAGGTACCTCAACAGCTACCCAGTGCACCTGGAAGACATTAACTCTGGTTTTTTGCCTTCTTTTACCACTTAGGTGTGGCAGAAAAGCAACATTCTTTCTATCCCCTAGTCCCACCACCCCAGCAGCAGAGCCGTGACTCAGCCCCCCAACCCCTATTGCACAGCTAGGAAAGGTGATCTAAGGCCCCGCTTCTAAAATGTAATGCTAGAAATACTCACCAATGCTGAGTTTAAGCTAATATGTTTTTAAAGATGATCTGAGTAGAAAACACTTCTTATTAAAAATAATCAGTCATGGTTGCTGTCTCTTCTGTTGTGATTCTAATTAATACTCTAAGAGGCTTGCTAGAAGGATAGACAATGTGGCTTACTTGTTTTCATTCCTTTTGATTGACTATAGAATCTTTGTCAACTCCAGTCTTCAGCATTTGGTACAAACATGTCAAATCTGACTCCATCTCCTCCTCAGAAATATTTATTTTCAATATCTTTTAGCTCAAAAGTCCAAAGTAAAAACTATACAGGCCTCAAAAGACATCCATAAAACCACTTTTATTCATGTCCCATTTTCCATACCAAACACAAATTGAAAAACAAAAAAGTCAGAAAGGACAATATATAATAGATTAAATAACTGCAATTGAAAATTTTAAAAAAATAAATTACAAAAATTGAGATGTGTGGCATCATTTAGTGTTAATTGACCTTTCTATGTTCACAAAATGGAACCTAGAGTCAGATGACAAAATTCTGTGAAATAGATGATTAAATTGCAAGAGAAAATCTGGAGGCAGCCTCTTTTAGAAGCTACTTAACATCCTAATTTTCTATGATTTTATATAAAACTGTGAGATGATATAAGCCAGGCAAACTCACATCAAATTACGATGTCTATACACTCTGGAGGCCTGTTAAAGTGTTTTAGGTAATATATAAATCTAAATGCACCTGAGATAGAAGAGTTTTAGTGTCACTGATAAGACTTTAGCACCAGCCCGACGATACTGGAACAATCACTAAATAAGCTATTTTCAAATTGCTACTTACTATGACTCAATATTCTAGAAATTTATGTGCTTTCATATAGATGATGATGACCCTGAATTTTGGAAATTACCGTGTCAAAGATTGTAGCTTTTAAAGGAACACAATTTTGTTCTGATGCTTATACATTTTGGCTGAATTTGAATCAGGCATTGTTAGATTTTTAGTCATTGCATTAAAGACTTGTAAAATATTTGTGTGGGAGGAGTGAAAGGGAAGGAAAGGCTAAGAGATAGATTAAGTATATGAGGGAGGTGGAGGAAGATTTATTTCAAGTTAAAAAAGAGTAATTTTAGCCACAATGCCACAAAGGAATAATACACGAAAGTTAATAACTTACGTATTGTGATGGTGGACTTTATGTGTCAACTTGCCTGGGCTAAACAATATCCAGGTAGCTGGTAAAACATTATTTTTGAGTGTGTCTGTGAAGGTCTTTCTGGAAGAGGTTAGCATTTGAATCAGTAGACTGAGTAAAGGTTGCTCTCACCAAAGTGGGTGGGCATCACCTAATCCATTGAGGGTTCAAATAGAACAAAGAAAGTGGAAAGGTAAACTTGCTCTCTGCCTAAGCTGAGACATTCATCTTTTCCTGCCCTGGGACACTGGCTTCCCTGGCTCTCAGGCCGTCAAACTCGGACTAAATTATACCAGCATCTTTCCTGGTTCCCCAGTTTGCAGATGGCAGATCATGAAACTTCTTGGCCTTCATAATCACATAAGCCAATTCCTATAATAAACCTCCATGTCTATGTATATTATGTCCTATCGGTTCTGTTTCTCTAGAGAATCCTGACTAATAAGCATACCAAATGAGATGTAGGGAGGGGAAATAATTATTTTATTTATGAAAGTTGCCTTCAAGAAATTCTCACTCTTTTATAAGGTGGTCTTCTGTAGAGAAAAGAACATAGATTCTGGAGGCCAGCAGACCTGGGTTTAATTTCCAGCTCAGATATTTTAATAAATTTGTATACCCAGGAAAATTAGGTAAATTGCAGAGCCTCAGTTTTCTCATTTGTTGACAGATTATCTAGATAATTAAAATTTATAACGAATACAGATCATGTACCACAGTGTTTGGAATGCAGAGGGCATTCCTTTCCAATCTTTCCTCATAGTATTTAGCCATATTATGTTGTTTCAGATTGACTTTTTAAAATGTTTCTAGATTTGCCTAATGTTTATGTCGTTTTAAAACGATCCATAAATGGATCTTTTATATTTTTTCTAGATGTATCGAAGGTTTATATAAAGTTGTCTTTAATATTTCCAGCACTCTCCAGTTCTGTTTGTTCTGGAATCTTCCACACGAGAGGGTTTCTGAGGAATAATCCAAGATAGAACAGCTGACAGAATATGTACACTGCCTTGAAAGCCAAAATATTACAGTCAGAACATGTTGGACTGTTGGGTGCCCCCAAACGAGGCAGTGTTGTGTTGTCTGGTACTCACTTTGCATTCGCCGTGTTGCATGTGGTCAGATTAGCTAGGGCGAGGGCCGCAGCTTCCCTTACTTCTTCACTGTCACTCCTGAGCAACTGAATTAACTGTGGAATCCCTGCAGAAACCGAAAGGGAAGATGTGGGTCTATAAACATCCAGGTAAACGACAGTTTGGTGGCCTAAAAATGGCTCTGTCTGGTTTGCTTACCCTGATTATTGAAAAATTCTTTGCTGCCTGAATTCTCACACATCACCGAAATAGCTTGGGAGGCAGCAATTTTCGTTCCGTCATTTTCAGAACCCAAAAGGGCCACAAGGCATTTTTCGACCTCTTGTTCGTGAAAGAGTTTTCTATTTTCAGCTTGCATAAACCAAAAGGAAAAAAAAAATCAGAATGTTGCTGCAAAAATTGTGCAAGGGTAACTACTTCCTCATCTAAAATATAACAGGAATTCAAACTATTTCTTAGCTTTAAAACTAAACAAAATATACACCTGTTTAACCTTTAGAACACAGTGATTATGCAAAATGACTTATGGATATTGGAATTTTTTCCCTAATATGATATCAATAACGCAGCAAAGAAAATTCTAGGGGTGCCTGGGTGTTCAGCCTCGTCGGTTAAGCCTCTGACTCTTGGTTTCAGCTCAGGTCATGATCTCAGGGTTGTGAGATTGAGCCCCACATCAGGCTCTGCACTCAGCACGGAATTTGCTTGAGATTCTCTCTCCCTCTCCCTCTGTTCCTCCTGCTCATGCTCTCTGTCTCTCTAAAATAAATAAATAAATCTTTAAAAAAAAATGACAATTCTATAATAAGAAAAAGGCAAGTTTCAGATTTAGAGAGAATTTATTTAATGCCAATCATGGGGCCTGGCATGGTGCCGTGTTCACAATGCTTTCTTCGCACTAAGGACAAAACCCTGTTGATTTGATGTTCACTTTAAATACAAAACTCAATATTTGAAGAATGCCTAAGTTGTACAAACTGGCATGCTGGATGCTTGAGAGAAAAAGAGAGGAGAGGAGAAAGTGAAAAAGGAGTAATAGAGTATGATCCCAAGTCTTAAGGATTTATAATCTTATATCAAAAAATCATATTCATTTTTTACCTCATTACAATACATGCTGTTGTAGCAAAAATTAAATATTTAATTGCTAAATTACCATCAATATAATCTAAACATACATTAGCATGATTTTCTTTATTTGAAAACAAATAAAATTATGACTCTAAGTACATACCATATTCACTCCATCATAGAATACTAAATGAAAAACCCAAGTATTTTTAATGTTCTCTTTGTTCCCTAATGTTTTTCTCTTGATTTCGTTTCATTTTTTAAATAAATGACAACCTCATTACTATACTAAGCAAACACTACATTAAACTAAATTAGAACATTAAAACTTAATTTTTTGTTCTGTGTTCTATAGTTAATTCTAAATAAGTTACTATTTATTAACGACATGGTCTCGAAAAAAGGTATATTAACCAAACTCAATTTTAATGCCAAAAGAGGTACCAGAGACTAGTTTGAAAAGCAACAGCTTACAAATAATTCTTTGCTAATTTATTTACAGTTCCTTCAAAAAACTTTGTCTTAGGGTTGATTCTCCATGAATTGACCTTCATAAACTCAATTTACTTGATTAAAACAGAAGAATGTATGATATAGGCTCTTAGGATGTTGATATACATGAGACTATTCTGTTAGAATAAAAATCTCTGCAAAAACTGCTGATACTAATTTAGGTCATACATAACATCTGCATGTGGAAGTAATTCATTACTTACATATACTGTAATTAACTTGTTTTTCCAGGAATATTCTGAGAAGTTATCGAAACTGGTTTTCCACATTAAAGTTAATACACAATTTCTATCTTCTTCCAACAATGAGTTTTTTAAATTGCCCCACTCACAGAAGCAGAATCACATTGAGATGCCACCATCTTTGCAAACATTTTTGGCCTTTGTTCATCGGATACACCGCAATCTGATCATAACTGGCACCAGCTAAATTACTACCACTTCTGTTCATTTGTCTTAAACCAATTATGAACCATGTCCTGTAATCCTATCATTTTAATCCCTTGCTCCTTTCATTTAAAATTAGGATTCAGTCAGGTCAGAACTGTTTTATAAAAATGTTGCGATTAATAGTTAAATCTCAAGTATGTGGCTTCTGAAATGTTTTAAAATATATGTAGTCCTGATTAGTAATCCCTGAATAAACAAGATCTGAAAGTTTTCTAGAGTCTCTGACCTAAATTGCTTAGATTTATAATTAAGACTTCCCTGAATCTCAAGCTCTAAATTAACTTCACTAAACGGAACAGTCTGAGAGTAAGTTCTACCAGGGAAATCGGCCAAAAGAATTAATTTGTAAAGACTAACTTTGGAGTATGCAGTTGTAATGCAGTTTTTGCATTCAAAAAAAAACAGTATATATGCCTTTATTGGAAAGATTTTTCAAAATAATCTAAATACTGTGGGCAATTAGTTTCTCAACCCTGCTGGGAGTGTTCTCAAAATCCAGCTGTGTTCACCAAACCTCAAAAGTGCTGACTGCAGTGTGGCTATAATGGATTTAAAAGATGAATTAACATATTAACCAAGTACCTTCATTGAATTGCTACACCAAGAAGTAAAGTATTTATGTTTTAATTACACAGATAATAAAGATGGCAAGGTAATTATGTGACTAATAGAGTAACGTCCTTTAAAAATAACATTTGTGCAGTATCACTAAAATAAAAAGCATGAGGTTTTGTAACTGGAAATAAATCTGCTCGTAATGATGCTTTCTTCGCCCACCCTCAGAAGTTGCTATTGTACCACCTTTGGTCCTGCTGAGATGTTAATGCCAGTTCATAAACCTCATGGCAACGTGGCAATTAACACCTTCCTCCTCCTGGTGCCAGGTCAAAGGCATACTGGTCTGGGCTTTCTACGGTGGGGTGGGGACGCAGGTTAAAAAGTACTCAACAAACAAAACTTCAAGGTTGTGTGTTTCAACTGTGTTTTTGACATGCAATGACAATGCATTACCTAATCTACAAAAGATGTTTGGTGATGATGGAAAGTAAAAAAAAAACGTTATAAATGAATACTGATGGTTACATTATTCTTAATAACAGGATGAAGAGCAGTATTTGTTAAAATCTGCTTATGAATGGAGTTTTCTAACAGGGCAAATAGCTTCTCTCATTTGGTAGGTTGTCTCTTAGTCTTGCTGATTGCTTCCTTCGCTGTGCAGAAGCTTTCTATTTTGATGTAGTCCCAATTGTTTATTTTTGCTTTTGCTTTCCTTGCCTCAGGAGACATATCCAGAAAAATGTTGCTACGGCCTATGTCAGAGAAATTACTGCCTGTGGTCTCTTCTAGGATTTTCTAACTGTGGAAAATTATTTTGAAAATTCACAACTATGTATTTTCAATACAGAAATATTAGGAGATAACTTTGTGAATCCTTGTTAAGTTTTTAGAGTTTACCATTGTTACTAATTAATATAAAGTAAAGCATGATAGATCTGGCTAGCTCTGGCAGAGAGAAGTCAAGGCAGGCAAGAGTTGATATAAGAAGGGGTAGACAAGAAATATTTAGGGGTTGAAAATAAAGCACAGTATAGAATGGAGGCAGGGAAGAGGAGGTGGTTATTGTTGATTTGGCTATGTAAACAGCATAAGGAGGTAAATAAATAAATAGAAGAGAATAATCAGCTAAATGACATGTCTGTAAGATTTAGGAGCTGGGAAGTTAATGCCAAATTCTACAAGGACTATTTTGGCAGAATGGTAGAAGCAGAAGTCACATGCTTAAGGTTAAGGCATGGAGATAAGATATTGCTAATCTGTGGGGATCTCACCATCCGTTGTTTGTTCCCTTAACCCTAACTGTACTTTGGAAAGTAGTCCCTTCATTTGTCTCTTTATTTAAACTATCTGGAGATTACAGAGCTGGTTTTTGCCAAGACCATATTTGATGATAAATGGCAATCTTAATATCAAATTAGAATTTAAAGCTAAAAATCAATTAAATGAGATTTAAAAAAAATCAATAATGGATATAAAATAACATTAAATAAAACAAAGTTAGTTAAAATAAAATTACAAGAAAAAATCAACAGAAATAACATAGTGAGAAACTTCTAACATACCACTCTTCTTCTGTGATAGATCTAAGAATAGATAAAAAATAAGGATGACAAAAACTGTACAATGTAATTTAGAAAGCTGAGCTAAAAGGCAAATATCAAACTCTACATTCCACTGGAAATACATCTTTTTTCTATTCAACAAATATTTATCCACTTATTTTATTCATTGTTTACCTTTATCTTCTAGAATAGTGCCTTGCATATAGCATGCATAGAATAAATATTTGTTAAGTAGTAAGCAAAGAACATACCTTCTCAAGATTTCATAGAAGACCAGTATACACTGATTATTTCCTAGACCTCAGTGAAAATGCAATATTATTTCCAAAGCAAAATTTGCATTTTTTTAACTACAAATCAAAAAATGTTAGAATTTAAAATGGAAGACTTTGAACTCTGGGTCCTGTTGGAGAAATGGGATCTGGGGTTCACTGTAGGTCTTTCCCTCGAAGTGTTGGCTCAGTCTGCTGACATGGTCAAAAGGCTGATTAAGATACTTGCTTCATAAAACTGAAATTGAAAATAATCATAAGATAACCAAATCTTTATATTACATAAAATGACAGTGCATGTTTTTAAAATGCTGTTCATAATACATATCACCCTACTTCAAAGAGGGTATCGTGAACAAGAGAAAGTCCAGAAAAAGTAAGACGATGATTATAGGATAGCCTACAGACGTGACATATGGGGAAAGACTAAGTAAAATATAGATTCTTCAGTCTGGAAAAATGGTGGTTAAAGGGAACATGAAAAAAAATCACAAATGACATAGATGTAATAAATACAGATTTAGTCATTTGATTCTAAAATAGTGAGGAGACACAATTTGGAACTGGAATATAGTCATTTTAGAACTAACATAAGGAAGTAGATTCATAAAACATAAAGTGCCAGATGGAATTTAAAGACTATCTGGTTGAGTTTCTTTGTATTACAAATAAAGAATGGATTTCAACAAATGGTGCTAGGAAACTGGATTTCCACTTGCAAAAGAAGGAAGTTGGATCCTTAACACCATATACAAAAACAACTCAAAATGGATCAAAAACCTAAACATTAGAGATAAAACTATAAAATGCCTAGACAAAAATGGGAAAATTTTCCTGATGTCAGATTTGTTAATGATTTTTTGGATATAACACCAAAAGTACAGGAAACAAAAGAAAAAATAAATTGGATTACATCAGAATTAAAAACTGCATCAAAGGACACAATCAATAGAGTGAAAAGGCAACCCATGGAATGGGGAAAAATATTTGCAAATCATACATCTGATAAGGAGTTACTACCCACAGTATAAAGAACTCCTACAACTCAATAACAACAACAACAACAACAAAACAAACAAAAAAAACCAACCTGGTTAAAAAATGGGCAAAGGATTTAAGTAGATATTTTTTCCAAAGAAGAGAAACAAATGGACAATAGATCATGGAAAAAATGCTCAACATCACTAGTCATTAGAGAAGTACAAACCAAAACACAATGAAATACCACCTCATACTCATTAGCATGGCTATTGACTAATAAACAACATAGCAAGTACTGGTGAGAATGTAGAGAAATTGGAACCTTTGTATCCTGTTGATGGGAATGTAAAATGGTGCAGCTGCTAGGAAAACGTTATGTCAGCTCCTCAACATATTTAACACAGAATTACCATATGATCCAACAAGTCCAGTCAGTATACCCCAAAGAACGGAATGCAGGGTCTTGAAAAGCTATTTTTTTTAAAGATTTTATTTATTTATGTATTAGAGAGCGAGAGAGAGAGAAACAGCATGAGAGGGGAGAAGGTCAGAGGGAGAAGCAGGTTCGCCGCTGAGCTGGGAGCCCGATGTGGGACTCGATCCCAGGACTCCAGGATCATGACCTGAGCCGAAGGCAGTCGCTTAACCAACTGAGCCACCCAGGCGCCCTTGAAAAGCTATTTGTATATGGATGTTCATAGCAGCATTATTCACAGTAGCCAAAAAGTGGAAGCAACCCAAGTGTCCATTAATAGACAAATAGATCAACAAAATGTGATATATACAATACTATGGAACACTAGTCAGCCTTAAAAAGGAAGGAAATTCTGATGTACGCTAGAACATGGATAAATCTGAGAATAAGTCACACAAAGTGAAACAAGCTAGTCACAAAAGGACAAATATTGTATGGTTCCATCTATATAAGGACTTAAAATAGTCAAAATCATAGAGACAGAGAGGATGGTGGTTGTCAGGGACTGCAAGGAGGAAGAAATGGGGAGTTTGTTGTTCCACAGGTACAGGGTGTCTCTTTGGCAAGATGAAAAGAGTTCTGGAGACGGATGTTGGCGATGGTAGCACAAAAACGTGAATGTACTTCATGCCACTGAGCTTAAAATTGGTTAAGACAGTAAACTTAATACTATGTGTGTTTTACCATAATTTCTATTAATTAATTAATTAATTTGTTTATTTATTTTAAAGTTTATTTATAATCTCTACACCCAACATGGGGCTAGAACTCATGACCCTGAGGATCAAGAGTCACAATGCTCCACCAACTGAGCCAGCCAGGCACCCCTTTTACCACCATTTTTGAAAGAATAGAACTCATTTCCTTTCCTTTCATCAAAACCAGCTCCTCTTCTTGAGTTCCCCATTTCAGTGAATGGCACCATTCTACCTCCAGCCGTCCCAGCCAGAAACCTGGCCTTATCCTTGACATCGCCTTCTTCCTCCTCCAACCCATGTAGTCAGTCAACAAAAACTTATGGGTCCTCCCAATGTGCCAAGCACTGTGCTGGTGGTCCTCCTTGCAAATGTCTGTTTCAGGATACTTTCACCTTCCACCTAGATTACCACAGCAATCCCCTTCCTGGTCTTTTCTGGGTCTGGTCCTGCACACTTCTAATCTCTCCTCCACTTTGCAACAAGAGGCTTCTTTCTTTAAAAAATATCTGTAATGGTCCCTCACCTCTCTAAGCCACTTCAGTGGCTCTTTGTTGCCATCAAAATAAGGTCCAAAGTCCTTAACTTGGCCTCTATCACCCATTAGCATCTGGCTCCTCATTACTTCTACAGCCTTCACTTTCAGTTTTCTGCTGCATTATATTCATGAGCCATTCTGAAAATTTTCAGTTCTGGAATTTACCATGCTCTGTCTCTCCTCTGGCCTTTACACACCGTTCCTTCTCCTTTGAGCTCTGGTGATCCTTCCCCATCCCACCACGACCTTCTTTGCCCAGCCAATTTCTATTATTTACTTCAGGTCCTAGCTTGTAAATCACCTATGTCAGGAAGATCTATCTGATCCAAGTTGACATTAGGTGGCCCCCCCAAGTGATCCTTTTCTTCTATCATCAAGCTCATTTAACACTACAGTGTGATCACCTGTTTCTTTGCCTGTTCTGGGTTTATTGACACAGAGTGGGGGCTCAATAAATCATTAATAAATAGGTCCAGAGAGGCTGTGGTTCACACATAGTCACAACCTAGGTCATCTCAGTGCCAGGAGTGGGACTAGCAGTAGAAATGGACCAACAGGGACTCTCCACCCAGTGCTCTTCCCACTGCTACGTCACATGATGAGTAATGAAACTCACTATCCCAAGAGGGGCTGCGACCATCTTGAAATGGTCCAACCACACTAGACAAAAGAGAAATTGCAAAAATTTTAGGTCTGATATTGTCCGTGTCTTGCCATTGCCCTTTCTTTTGGTCTTAAATAGCTAAGAAGTCCTGAGAAAGTTGGAAAACAGAACTGATCAGGTTTGATAAGGTCTAAATTCCATATGACAGAATACTGAATCAAGCAACTTTTTCCAGTATTAAAAACTTCAATTTTACAGCCTGTCTAGATTTGGCAAGTTCCCTCTATGTTAACTATGTGCTGGATGGTGAAACTCGACTTACTGCAATAAAACTCTGCCTTGAAGAAATCAGTATGGATTGAGAAGGAAATGTTTCCCATAATATATACACAGACATATATACAGATGTGAGTATATATGTTTAGAATATAAATCACTTAAACTAGTCAAAACTGTCATCATTTATAAGAGGAGTGATGTGGAAGGGGGAAAATAAAATCACTTCTTTTATTAAATAAAATACTCCAAATATACATAAATTAAAACTATAATTTCAGCTTCAGTGCTTGTGATATAATTAATCTCTCATATTTTACAGATTTATGTCAACATAGCTTGCCACTGAAATGAAAATTGTATTATGTATATAGTATGAGCATATTATTTTTCACAGCTATATCACATGGCACTGCTAGTCTCCGGCTGAAGTTGAAATTATGGTATAGATATCATTCCATATTGAAACAACATTTTCAGGATCACAAACAATGCATGGATTCTGTAAAATTTCAAAATCAAGAGAAATAAAGGCTTAAAAACTTAATTTATGAATGCATTGCTTAAAAAAACATAATTAAATCATAGAGTTTATTATATCCCTGACAAAGCAATCTCTACTTTTACTCATTGGCATTAGGATGAATTTTGGCCCCAAATAGCAAATATGGCACTATTCTCAGATGACCATTTAAAAGCAGACAAATACTCCAGTGCTTGTTAGTACTAATCAAAATCAAGAATAAAAGAGGAAGTATGTGTGCTTAGTTTATATAAAATGAGACATACGATCATAAGCTGCTTTAGTTATTGCTTTTGCTGCGTTCTTCTGAATATCAGGAATTGTAGAGTTTTCTGCAAATGAGAGGAGCTTCTTAAGACCCCCTGTCTGCTGAAAGAGCACCAAAGTATCCATATCTTCAAGGCAATTTGCTATCACGGAAAGTGCTTCTATATGAAGGTCATTCAATTCCTAATAATAAAAGCAAACACAACTTTAGAAAATTGTACTAAAAGAGATTGATACTTCCCAAATTTTACTGTAAGACAAAGGTCAGTCAGAATGTATTGCTGTTAACTTTGTTGTGACAGATGTCCAAGGAAACAGTTTTGTTTATGATCATAACATCGCTCTCCCTCACAATTTGCCCCATCTCTTCTTGTTTCCCCTACTCCAAAATGTTCCACAGATAAAAGATAATTACTGGACATTTCCAGTAATGGTAGCCAAGTCAAGTTGCTCATACAACCTCCTACCAATAACAATTTTAAAATCTGAAGAAAATATTCTTTGAAAAAGCAGACAGAAGCTGAAGGAAAGTGTATTCCTTAAAATCTCCTACTGGTAGAGGAAGTATTATAAGTTTGTGGCCCTCTTGCCTGAGGAATCTCCTGAATCCCCATCGCTGTGGAAAATTGCAACCTTACCCGAACAGCGAGACATTTAAAGTGGGAATCCTTAAAGTGAGAGGAACACAGGAAGGATGCTCACGGAATTCCCTGTCTTACCATGATGCCCGCCATCCCGAAGCAGCTGGCTTGACAGAATGGCCTTTTGAAGACTTAGTTACCATGTCAGCAAAGTGGCAATACCTTGCAGGGGCCTGGGCAAGGTTCTCCACAAGGTTATGTTCCGAATCAGCATCCAATATATGGTGCCGTTTCTCCCATAGCCAGTGATGGCGGGTCCCGGAATCAAGGGGTGGAAATGTGTGTGGCAGCACTCCTGATTACCCCTAGGGACCCATTAGCAACATTTTTGCTTCCTGCCTCCCAGACCTTATGCTCTGCTGGCCTAGAGGTCTTAGTTCCAAAGGGGAGAATGCTTCCACCAAAAGACACAACAATGATTCCACTGTACTGGAAGTTAAAACTGCCACCCAGCCACTTTGGCCTCCCCATGCCTCTAAGGCAGGCAAAGAAGGATGTTACAGTCCTGCTGGGGTGACTGATCCCAGTTACCAATGGGAAATTGGACTGCTACTCCACAGTAGAGGTAAGAAGACTATATCTAGAATATAGGAAGTCCTTAGGGTGTCTGTTAGTATTACTACGCCTTGTGATTAAGGTCAATGGAAAACTACAATTACCGAATCCAGGCAGGACTACTAATGGCCCAGACCCTCAGGAATGAAGACATGGATCACCCTACCAGGTAAAGAATCACATCCAGCTAAAGTGCTTGCTGAGGGCAAAGGGAATATGGAATGTGTACTGGAGGAAAGTTAGTTATAAATACCAACTACCACCATGTGGCCACCTATAGACAAAAGGGTTGTAACTGCCATGAGTATTTCTTCCTTATTTTGTTATAAATAAGTGTGTATGTGTGTATTATGAAATATCGTTGTTTTTTCCCCTCTCTTATCCCCTTAGGTAACATAAAATGTCCTAACTTTAAAAATTAGCATTAATTTTATATCATAGTATTTAAGTTACAGGATATCAAGGAGAAGAGTAAATATCATTACATCCTCTTCTGGAGAAAGGGTTAGTATGTTTTGGTTGTACACAGGATAGTTAAATCATTCCAGGCAGAAGTAGGACCTTGCTACTGCCTTTATTTGGAGACTGAGTATGATTTAAGGAGATGTGTATGAGTGCCATATTTATAAGTGATGGACTTATGATGATTAATTTTCATGTTTTAACTTGGCTAGGCCATGGTATCCAGATATTTGGTCAAACATTATTCTAGATGTTTCTGTGAAAGTATTTCTTTAGATGAAAATAATATTTAAGTCAATAGACTGAGTAAAGCAGATTACTCTCCACAATGAGGGGTAAATCACTCTTCTTATTTTTCCTTTGAGAAAACTATGGCCGATAAAGCTTAAAAGACTAATTCTAGGTATTTCGGGAAATCATAAACAAGATCCTAAACAAGAATTTAAAAATTTTAAAATTCTAAACCAGAAGATTAAGAAAATTATTTTATAATGGCTCTATCATTAATCTGATTTAATCATGCTGATAAACAATGTAGCAATAAGCAAATTAGTCCATTATACTTAGTACTATGCCTAAATATATTAAAATTTCATTTTTTAAAATATTCTTTAATTCATATTTTATAACAACATTTAGAAGAGATACATTTCCTTGTAGAGAGTTGAATGAAAGTTATAAATACCTTAGTTTCTAGGATTTTAATAAGGTGGTCCATTCCTTGATTGTCCCTTAGCATCGCCCGTGCCTCCTTATCATTTGTAATAACACCTAAGGTTTTGAGAGCCAACAACTGAATAATTGGATATTCTGACTTCAAGAGATCTAATATAGGGGGGACTGCATTTAGTTCTTGAAGTGTAGCTCGACACTGAAAATCCTGCCATGAAATACAAATGATCAAATAAGTAACTTTTAAAGCAAAATACAGTTAGTCTCAAGAATGGAAAACTCTATCTTCTAACAAAGGACATTATACGTTATAAATTTCCCATCTTTTATTCCAGATTCCCTTCCAAAATACCTCACACAAAAAATAAGCAAACCTTCAACTGACAACACCTAAATATTCATTTTAACTCTGCAGACATTGTCAATAACAGGAAATAGATGTGATCTATGACTTCTGCAGTTTCTATTGTTTATTACTGGCAAATTCCCTTTATTACAAATAGCATTACAATAAATCTGTGCATAATCAAATTCTTTTCACACTATGTACCTTGTTTCAAATAGTATTTGATAAAATGAAATGATGGCATCAATTCCTTATTATCTTTATTCGAATGGAATGTTTATGAAATGCTTACATGCACTCAATGCTGTTGGCAGACCCTGTGCACACAAATTTTTATCAGGTTTAGCTCAGACACATGACCTTTATTTAAGACATTTAGAATATCAAGGGGTCATTAGAGTCTAGATGAGTTGCTCCACAGTGTGTGTCTATAATTTTGTGTGTGTGAGTGGTGGGGAGAGGGCTAGTTGGGGGTCGGCAATGGACAAAACAGAAAAAGTCATGAAAAGCCCCTGAACTCTGACTGCTAAATCATGACACTTAAAATCAAAACATCATAAATGTAAAATAGTATTAAAGGTAGAAAAACCCTACTAACAACTTAGGTTTCTCTATCCATTCTTCAATGAATGCTTCCTACAGATATAAAAATTGTGGGTTGCTATTTGTTATAGGTTGAATTGTGTCCCTCCCAAAATATAAGTTGGAAGTCCTGACCCTCAAAATGTGACCTTATTTGGAAATAGGGTCATTGTAGATGTCATTAGTTAAGATAAGGTCATAGTGGAGTAGGGTAGGTACTTAATGGTGTCTTCATAAGAGTGGTGTCTTTTTTTTTTTTTAAAGAGTTTATTTATTTATTTGACAGAGAGAGATACAGCGAGAGAGGGAACACAAGCAGGGGGAGTGGGAGAGGGAGAAGCAGGCTTCCTGCGGAGCAGGGAGCCTGATGCGGGCTCGATCCCAGGACCCCGGGATCTTGACCCAACCGAAGGCAGACACTTAACGACTGAGCCACCCAGGCGCCCCAAGAATGATGTCTTTAAAAGAAGATGAGACAAAACAGAGGGAGAGATTGCAATGATGAAGTTGTAAACCAAGGAAATTAATATACTGTTATTAACTAGTATACTTCTGTTCTGAAGAATAGTGAAGGCAAGCTTTTCATTTCTGTTTGATAAAAAAGATACAGGGAAATAAAAGCTATGAGGAGTCTTGAGATGAAAGACACTAACACATTGACAGGGTTATTTAGGCCTATGCAATGAGAGAAGGTAAACAGCTGAGCTTCCTTCAGCATGTCTCCCTCAGGCAAGAGCAAGGGTAGAAGCCAGTGGGTGCCCAACCATGTGGCAATAACTTCTAAGGCCAGGAATGTAGGTTTGCTTTGCTGTCTTTGGGCATGAGCTCATTGCCTCTCCATGAAACGGAGGCCTCATCTTCACTGTCTCTTCCTTTTATACTCCACTGCTGGCTATTTAAGATGGTGTTTTGTATCTTAAGTTGATCTAAAGCTTATCAAGTGTGTGTGGGAATTGTTCAGGAACCTGAGCAGGGAAAGAAGCAGAGGAGGCTGTCCAGTGTTAGGAAGCTGACCTGCTGTGGGTGTGAGTGTGTGTGTCTTGTGCGGCTGCAGCAGGGGCAGGGACACAGAAGAGCACAGAGGGGGAAGAGGCCAAGGGAGCCTGTTTCTTTCCATAACTAAGGAAGACAGTTCAGGGACATAGCATCTTCCAATTGTGAACAATGAATTCTGTTCAGCGTACTCAACTCACTGGGTCTTCACCAATAAATAAGTCTAACCCAAAATGTTGGTACACTGAATAAGGCATATATTGCACCCAATGTGCTTAGATCACCAAGGTTATGTCAATAAATAACTGCCTGAGTCAAACTTGGTTCAATATATTAGATATCCTCTTTCAGAAGAAATACATTCATCTAGTATAATCCTGCCTTAATTTGCAAGCCATTCTATTCTTTCAAAATTTAAATACACTTTTAAAATGCCCTTTCATAGACCTGTACTCTGGAAAGTATAAAACACTGAAAGAAATTGAAGAGGACATAAAGAAAAGGAAAGACATCCCATACTCATGGATTGGAAGAACAAAGTCTATACTAACCAAAACAATCTACACATTTAATACAATCCCTATCAAAAGACCAATAGCATTTTTCACAGAGGTAGAACAAACAATCCTAAAATTTGTATGGAACCACAAAAGACCCTAAATAGCAAAGCAATCCTGAAATAAATTCTATAAATAGCTATGGTCAAAATACACTTTTAGAAATTACCCTCACCTGGACCAAGTTGTAAATGCACTCAGTAGAGTTCTTCTTCACGTCAGGGTCTGGGCTGGCCAGCAGTCTGATGAGTGGCTCTAACCCACCATGCTCAAATATTTGCACTTTGCCGGTATACTCTGCAGACATGTTCGCCAGGCAAAGACTGGCAAACTCATGGATAACCACTTCCTCTGCGCATCAGAGATAAACAACACAAGTATGCAAAAGGCTTACTCAGACATTACTTTAAAACATGTTTTGAAAACCAAAGCTTCACAAATCTTACTGGGTTGGAGCCCATCTTGGTTTGAGAGATTTTAATGACAATTCACAACTGATACTACATAAACTATTTTCGATGAGTAGTTTAACCCAATGTGAAAAATAAACCAGCCCCGCTTTTGAAACAGATGTACGATGGAAAGTTACCTTCTGGAGCAAGCTGAGCAATGACAGAATTCATGACATCTAACTCCCTTAACAATTTTTTTACATCATCTACAAAAGGAGACACAGAATATTAATGTTTATTAATAATAATAATAATGGTGATGCTGTTGAAATAGTCCCTTATGACGTAGGCTTTATTATTACCTAATTTTACAGATAAAGAAATTGAGGCTCAGGGCGCCTGGGTGGCTCAGTTGGTTAAACAACTGCCTTCGGCTCAGGTCATGATCCCGGAGCCCCGGGATCGAGTTCCACATAGGGCTCCCTGCTCAGCAGGGAGTCTGCTTCTCCCTCTGACCCTCCCCCTTCTTGTGCTCTCTCTCTCTCTCTCACATAAATAAAATCTAAAAAAAAAAAAAAAAAACATTAAAAAAAGGAAACTGAGGCTCAAAATCACACAGCAAGTGAATGGTGGGACCAGGTGGCTTGCCCAGGTCTATCTGCCCCTAGACAGACTCTGGCTTCTGCTCCTTGATCACTGAGCTATACTACCTTCCAAAACACCAGAAAAATGCAAAATATGCCTAGAACATAATCAGTAAATTCAAGTTACTGTGCCCTACATGTGTTTATTATATAGTAGAAACTCTGTTGTGTTGCTTTGTTGGGAAGGGTATTTTTAAATTTTGATTTTAATAAAACTTGTACAGAATGCACATGAGAATTATCCCCAGGCTTTTCGATGAATATAACTTGTTTGCATTCCATTTTCTTATCAGAAATGCCAAAAATGATAAAAGATAAGTATACTGATTTTTTTTTAAAGTTCACTTTTATATTATTTATGTGAGACTAAGTCTAGGCAGGTTTGCCCCTACTTCTCTCCTGCCATCCTTAACCCCTGTTTTCTGAGAAATAAGGCATAGGTACAAATTTAGTTTTTGTAGTTTCTCTTCTTGGTCAATTATTTTTGCTTGTAAGCCAAAATTAGCATTACCAGAATTTTGGAAAATTTCGCTCTGCAGCAGCTAAGGCGGATGATCTCTGGATGAATTTTTCCTCATTAACTACTGGGTATACTTGACTTTCAAGCCACCAAAACTTCTGCTCTCTGTTTCTGTTCAAAATGGCTAAAGAGGGCCAGCAAATTTACAGCTAGCTCTATGTATGTGAGTAAGCTTGAAGTACAAAAGAATAGTAGAGCTTCTAGAAAGTATAGTGTCCCAAAGTGGAGGACATTAGTTTTCAGTCAACATTTGTTCAAAAAACAGAAGTATCACCATGACAGGGAATTAACCAAGTTAAGGCATAATACTCAGATCCTTCCAGGTGTTTTGGCGAACTATATGGATGGGTACCCTCTGGAAGAGCTATTTCTATTCTCTTCTCACTGTGAGGAGTCCAGGCTCTATTTTTCAAAATGAGAAGGCCATACCAGTCTATTTTTACATGCTTGACGCAAAATATTTCTGGCTTTTTCAATCTCTAAGTTCATTCTCCATTCGAAATACAAAATAGTATGTCAGGAACATTCATGCTCCATGTGCTCTCTGCTCCTCTTCTCTGCAGGAAGGACCTGCTGCTTCAGGGAGAAGCCAGCTTGTTGCATCTGTATGTGCCATCACCCCTTGGTCTGTCCTGACAAGTCCAAAGTTCTCATCAGAGGATTTTCTGTGCCGTGAAAGGCCCTTCTTGATATGAATTTAGCCAAATGTGATACATCTAGTAGATCTATCCACTAAACCATTTTCTCTTGGCTCACCGGATGATTCAGCTTCACTGACAGTTCTTATAAATCGGTGGCATACCTGATCAATTTGTTATTCTGCTTTTTGACACCAAATTGCCCTCCCCAATCTTTCTTTTCTTGCAGTTAAATCAGTAAAAATAATAAAAATAAGGGATAAGCTGCTATTTTCAACACTTTAAAAACAATATTGCTCTCTGTCCCCTTCTCTCTCAACAGACCCCCATATATGACAGCTGAGTAGAAACTCTGACTTGTGGTTGGTCCACATAAATCCATTCTCGCTAAACAGTGTGACACCTACAATTTTAGATTGTTCCAGAACTGCCGGCACCTTCACTTCCTGGGGCACCTTCAAGTGATCTGTTTTCATTGCATTCTTATTTACAGGTTTTGGTTGCATAGTATTGACCATCTAATTTATTTTTGACCTGGTATACTCTTTTACATCAACCATTTCTTAAGATGGCAAGCTCTTCAGATTGCCATAAGTAATGTAAAGTCTGAGCTTCGAGGATCATGATGAACTCTCTCTTTAGCTGACTTCATTAAATGAGTCTCTGTTATATGGCCTCATCAAACTAAATACAAACTGGCAGGTAAAAGGAGACAGCAGCTCCATTTTGATAAAAAGGTTTAACAAAGTAATTTAAGTGCCTGTCTTGAAGGACCCAGGCTTGGCAAGGGCACGTAACTCAGTAACTTCAGAAAAAAAGAAAAGGAAGAAAAAGTAAGATTTGTTTGCTCTCATAGCAATCCTTTTAGCACCTGGCATTCTACTGGAACATTCTGTTGGATCATCCTCTATGAACATAGTGACATCACTGGATACATGAAAGTCATGTAAAGATACAAATTTCTAAAGAAAAATCAGTTATTTAAAAACAGCCCAAAGATGATTTAACCATGCAGCAGCAGAGGTACATTTATTTACATATTCGTCTGGAAACATGCCTTTTGATTTAGGCAAATAACTACGTGCTCATATTTTTTTTTTAAGATTTTATTTATTTATTTGAGAGAGAGAGAATGAGAGACAGAGAGCATGAGAGGGAGGAGGGTCAGAGGGAGAAGCAGACTCCCTGCCGAGCAGAGAGCCCGATGCGGAACTCGATCCCGGGACTCCAGGATCATGACCTGAGCCGAAGGCAGTCGCCTAACCAACTGAGCCACCCAGGCGCCCCCTACGTGCTCATATTTTATCCCATGTCACCTTGGACATGTATGCAAAGTGAACCACTAGCTATTAATGTATTGGCTGTATTAACAAAAAAGGAACTCCACAAGCAGTTGGGGATGCCATGTGTTTATCCATGTCATCAGGTAGTTCAAATAGACAAGGAGTTCAGTCCAATAATGGCTTAATTTTTCCACCGAACTCATGGAATCAAAAGAAAGCTCTTGGAGGTGCATTCATCACGTGTAAGACCCAAACGCTCACTGGAAACCACCAAGACAACAAAACTCTTTCCAGTGTTATGCTTCGTCGTTGCAGACCGCACTCTCGTCTAGCACTGGTCACAGCCTGGCCAGCCTGTAGGTGTGGCTCGACAGGTCTGAGCACCACTGCATTTAGCCTCAAACACAACAGTAATTCTCAATATTTTGGGGTCACAGACTCCTTTAGAAACTCATGAAATTCAATATAGAAATCCTGCTCAGGAAAATTCTGCAAACAATTTGGAGGGCTTCACAGGTTATAAACTCCTCACATATTGGAAGATGGAAATACTCAATTAAAATGAGTAACAGAGATTAAGAACAAAAGTAAACAGGAAAGAAAGTCACAGAAACCTAGACCTTAAATTAGAAAATATAAGTATATGCAGGCAATTATAACTCTCCTTTCCAAACGAGCTGCATTCTCCCCCAAAATCACTTAGAAGGAGAACCTTAGTATGTGCACTAATGTTAAGGATCGGAGAAGATCTGATGAATAGAAAGCCCCCTACGCATGAGCCACAGGCTACAGTTCTAATTCTAGCTCTGATCTCATCTCTTCCACCAACCACCTGCGTGACTGTGCCAGGAACCGAATCCCTTCAGAGCTCGTTCCTATTTTTAAAATGAGGAATTGCAGGAATTGCAAAAGATGTGTTACAAAGCACCACTGGTTCTCAAATTCTGTGGTGTATAAACAGAATAAAACATAAGAAATTTTTTAATTTTCTCTTTTTTTGGTTATAAATACATTCAGTAAGCCTCATTCAATATGGCAGACTTAGTATACAGGCAGCCCCTGAGATAAATTTATGAGGGTTCCACAAGACAAATGATTACTACCTCATTTAACTGCTCTGTACCTCAGTTGCCTTATGTGTAAAGGGAACGATAATAGCACCAACCTCATTGTATATTGTCATTACAATATACAAATAGCATATAGAACAGTGCCTGGCACATTGTAAATGCTGTGTGAGTGTTGACTACTGGTATCATAATCTGGGTTGGTGGACCATCCTCTGTCCACAACTGTCTTCATCCTGCGGCCATCCACCGAGCCCCTGCCTTACAGAACAGCCACCGTTCGAGCTCGGGCAGTTGCTGCCTGACGGAGCCCCATCTGTCCCCCAACACTAAAGGTGCTGTTCATGCAATCTCTGCAGCTGAGGCTGAAATCGCACAGATGCCACAGAAAACTCTCCTTGCCCTTCTCTTCCCGTCTTCCTTTCCCTGACTAATGCCACAGTCCCTGATGGACACCATGGAATAAGGAGCGCGCCGCCCCCCACCCCCGCCCCCGGCCCACCCTGTCTCACACAGGATTCAGGAAAGTGAAGTGGGGGGGCCGGAAGCTGAGGGAGGAAACTGCTTGTGTTTTTGCTGAGACTGGTGAGAGGGAAAATATGATAATTTTAGCCCCATGCCATGAGAGAGAGAGAGAGACATGTTTATTCCTAGCTGCCTGAGTTTCATGTTAGAATTCAGTCTCTACCAAGAATGTCATTTCTTATTATAAAGTCAGAAGGCTTTTGTTGGCTAACTCAAAAAACCTACCATTATAACATGAAAATGACTTTCAAATGGAAAACACATCCTGTTCATTAGTCAGGGACTGCCTTTATTGCCATGGTTTTGGTCAAACTGATATTCTAACAGACATAATAGCACGTTTTAACTAATGCTATTATTCTGCCATATTAAATATATGAAAATATTCAAGCAAGTAATGGGTCTGATTTAAGAAATAAAAACATGTCTAAAATTATTTTTGGCAAAATATATTTTGCAGTTTCAAAAAAAAAAATAAATGTATCAAACCTCTTTACCCTGGGCTACTTTCATTGAGACATACATATGAAGTGTAGCTTACATATAGGCAGACAAATTATATTATGCTAACTCAAGAAAAATATCTATTTTAATTTTAAGAGACAATGATTGCCCTTCAACTTGTTAGACCGGAACATACTACATCACCAACTTTGACAGTTTTTGCATGGATAAATTTCCACGTATTTTTATATTTTAAAAATATCTCTTGGGGTGCCTGGTGGCTCAGCCTGGTTAGCCTCTGACTCTTGGTTTTGGCTCAGGTCATGATCTCAGGATCCTGGGATGGAGCCCTGCATCTGGCTCTGTGATCAGCAGGGAGTCTGCCTCTCTGCCTCTTTCTCCTTCTCCCTCTGCCCCTCCCCACCCCCGACCAGCTGGCGCACTCTCTCTAAAATAAATAAATAAAACTTAAAAAAAACTCTTAAAATATGAAATCATACATCTGTTGTATTATACACATTTAACTTCTTGTTAACATTAAAGTCAGTTCAAATAAAATTCAAACAAATCCCTTAAAATTAAATTTTAAAAAGATAATGTATTATGTGAGATTATTAGATAATTTTAAAAAGTTGACACTTACTGTTAGAAGTCAGGATTCCAAATATCATAGTAGCATTTCTCCTTACAATTTTGTTTTCATGGGTGAGCAGTTTAGTTAAGGGTTCCACAGCTCCAAGTTCAAGGAGGGTAGCTTTATTTTCTTCACCTGATGTCATAGGTAAAATAAAATCATGCATGGATAGCATCAATCTCATCAAAACTCTTCCTCGTGTCATTGTAATTTCTTATTTGTCATTTGCCTTTCACATTCCTCTTTGCTTCCACATATATTTCTCTCGGAATAAACTTTAGAGCACAGGTAGCCTGGACAATAGCTGTTCTCCTTCCTCCTGCTGTCGACAAAGCTGGCTTCCTCTTGTCATTCAGTTTTAGCTCACCCTGCACGTGCTCAGAGGGGTCTCCCCTGACCACCCTATGTAATGTTAATGTTATCACTACATCCAAGCCTTTCTTATCCTTCTTTAGTCTACCTTCTTCACACCACTTGGGGATCTCCTTGAACACTTTGCCTGTTCCACTCTAACTTTTAATTTTTCATGAGGACAGACACCCTTTCCGTTCTAGTCTCTCATATCCTCAGTGCCTAGCATAGTGCTAGTCATGGACTGGCATAATTAATCACAAGACCTAATTAACATACACAGTCTCCACTTTGAGTTAAAGTGGAATGGTGGGGTGAGTTCAAGGGGTTCATTTTTCACCCAACGGGGTTACAGTTCCTATTTTATCAGGCAAGATATGCCTGCAGCTAGCATGAAGGTATGCGCACAGAGGGGAGCGCTGGGGTCACTGGGGACTACTTAGCTGTGGCAAGAAGCCCCAGAACCAGAAGGCCAGATAAGGCCAGAGTCCTGCTTAACTGTAGAAGCAGTTTGTCCATATCTTGATGAGCAGGATAGCATTCTACAAAGTCAGGAATAATGTTTAAGTCCTGATTAATTTCAGCTTTTCAATTTCACAGGCAATGAAAATACAGATTTCACTTTCAAAATTAATTTGAGAGTATAATAAAGTAATTTTAACTTTTCTTGCCTTAGTTTTCTCATAAAATTAGAGTATTTTATATTTTAAGTTATAGGTCCACATTCTGATAAGACACCGACTATAGCTTCGTAGAGCCCATGGAATTGCCCTGTATCTAAATGGTCAAATCTGTCGTCTGGTAAGAATATGTTGAAATATGCATTGTTGACTCTTACAAACTTCTTTTCAAATCTTCCAATATTTGCATTTTATGGAAATTTAAAACTTAATTTCTTAGATGAAAACATTTTGTCAAATGAATCTTAAGACAAATTTTAAGATACTAATGCTTAAGTAAAAACATATTTTATATATCAGATTGTTATAAAAATTGAAATTTCCTTTAAATTTTCATTCTGAGACTTTTATTACTTTTATTTACTTTTATTAACTTGAATTATTTCTTCATTAAAACATATTTCTTCTTCTTCTTTTTTAAATAATGCTATATATTATAACTTTATGATCAGAAGAGGATTTGCAAAATTAACAACCTGTGTCATCTTTTACATCTATTTTTATTCTTTTTTAACAGCTTTAATGAGATGACATACAATAGACTGTACATATTTAAAGAAAACGACTTGATAAGTTTTGATATGTGTTTAACGCCCATGAAACCAAGTGCCACCATGAAGAACACATCTAACACCCCCAAAAGTGCCCTCTTGACACCTTGTGATCTCTTCCTCCTATTACTATACATTATTTTGCATTGCCCAGAACTTTATATAATCATGCAGTATGAATTCGTTATTGCCTGGTTTTCTCACTCAGTCTAATTATTTTGAGATTAATCCACGTTGTAGCATGTATCATAGTTCATCCTATTTATTGTTATTTACTATTCAATTATATGGATATACCATGATTTGGCTGGATCATATATGGTGGGTTTACATTTAACTTTTCGAGAAACTGCCGAACTGTTCCAAAGTGGATGCAAAAATTCCAGAAGTTCCCCATCCTAGCCAACACATCTGTCCATCTTTCTGATGATAGTAATCTTAGAGGGTGTGAAGTAGTATTTCATCATGGTTTTAATTTGCATTTCCCTCACAACTAATGATGGCGAGCAAAAGGTATGCTTATGCCATCCATATATCTCTTTGGTGAAGTGTGTGTTCAAATCTCTTGCTCGTATGTATTTTTAAATTTTGTTTGTTTTATTATTGAGTTCTGAGAGTTATTTATATATTCTGGACACAAATCTTTTATCAGATATATGATTAACAAAAATTTTCTTGCTGTCTATAGTGTATCTTTTTAAAAAATTACTAGACTTTTTTTGAGCAGTTTCAAGTTTATTAAAAAATAAACAGGGGTGCCTGGGTGGCTCAGTCCGTTAAGCAGCTGACGCTGGATTTCAGCTCAGGTCATAATCTCAGGGTCCTGGGATCAAGTATTGTGTTGGGCTCTGGGCTCTCTCCCTCTGCCTTTCCCCCCGCCTCTGCTCATGCTCTCTCTCTCTCAAATAAATAAATCTTTTAAAAAAATGAACAAACAATACAGAGTTCTCATATACTCCATCTCCCTTCCCTCCCCCGTTTCTCTTATTATTAACATCATGCATTAGTGTGGTACATTTGTTACAATTGATGAACCGATATTGACACATTACTATTAACTAGAGTTGATAATCTACATTATGGTTCACTATATGTGCTGTACAATTCTACAGGTTTTGAGAAATGTGTAAGATTATGTTTAGCTTTCTAAGAAACTACCAAATCATCTTCCAAAGTACCTGTACTATTTTGGACTCCCACCAGCGATGAATCAGAGTCCCTGTTTTCCACATCTTCACCAGCATTTTATGTTGTCAGTGTTTAGAATTTTAGCCATTCTAATAGGTGTGTAGTGATATTTCATTATTGCTTTAATTTGCAATTTCCTGATAACATATGATGTCTTTTCACGTGCTTATTTGCCATCTGTGTATCTTTTTTGGTGGGTGTGTGTTTAGGGTAAATTTGATAAAATCCAATCAATTGTCATCTTATGGATTATGTTTAGTGTCATATCTAAGAAACTTTTGGCTAACCCAAATACTCTTTTGGTAGCATCCCACAAATTTTTATATGTTATGTTTTCATTTTCAATTTGGATTTTCCTTTTGAATTCTTTCACTGACAGATTATTTAGAAATGTGTAGTTTACGTTCTATTTAATGATTGTCCAGAGTCCTTTGTGTTAAGTGATTTTCAATTTAATTCTATTGTGGTATGACGTATATTTTATATGATTGGAATTCTTTTAAAATAAATTTATTAAGGCTTGTATTATGGATCAGAATATCACCTATTTTGATAAATGTCCTGTTTGTATTTGAAAAGAATGTTATTCTGCTTGGAGTGTTCTATAAATATCAATTAGGTTAAATTCATTTATATCGCTGTTTAAATCTTTTATATTCTTACAGATTTGCTATTCATTTGTTCTTTCATTTATTAATAGAAGGTTATTAAAGTCCTCAGCTATAATTGTGGATGTTTATTTCTCCCTGCATTTCTAACTTCATGTATTTTGAAGCTCTGACATTATGGTTTTTTTCATAGCTTTTTTTCTTTTATTTAAATTCAATTTCGTTAACACATACTGTAATTTTAGTTTCAGGGGTAGAATTCATGATTCATCAGTTGCATATAACACCCAGTGCTCATTACATCAAGTGTCCTCCTTAATGCCCATCACCCAATTACCCCATCCCTCCACCCACCTCCCCTCCAGCAACCCTCAGTTTGTTTCCTATAGTTAAGAATCTCTTATGGTTTGCCTCCCTGTTTTCATCTTATTTTATTTTTCATAGCTTCTTGATTAATTGACTCTTTTATTATTACAAAATGAGGTTTTTTATCTGATACTACTCCTTCATTATTCTGATATTAGTATAGCCACTCCAGCTTTTTTTTTTTTTTAAGATTTTATTTATTCATTTGAGACACAGAGATACAGAGAGAGAGAGAGAGCATGAGGGACAGGGAGAGGGAGAAGCAGGCTCCCCACTGAGCCAGGAGCCCGACGTGGGGCACAATCCCAGGATCCTGGGATCGTGACCTGAGCTGAAGGCAGACGCTTAACCATCTGAGCCACCCATGGTGCCCCTCCAGCTTTCTTTTGATTAGTGCTAATATATCTTTTTTTTATCCTTTTACTTTCAAGTTATTTGTGTCATTATATTCTAAGTGCATTTCTTGGATGCAGCATGTAGTTTGGTCTTGCTTTTTATAGACTATAAAACTATCTCCTTGTTAATTGAGTACTCAGCCCATTAACATTTAGTTGGATTATTGATAACATTAGGTTTGAGTCTACCACCTTGTTATTTGTTTCTTGTGTGTCTCATTATTCTTTTTTTCCTTTTTTTCATTTCTGCCTTCTTTGTATGAATTGAATATTATTTTTATGATTCCATTTCATTTCCTTTGGTGGCTTATTTGATATTACTCTTTGTTATTTTAGTGGTTGTATTAAAGTCTGTAGTATACATCCTTATCACAGTCTACTTTCAAGTCGGGATAGAGCACTTCACATATAGTGCAAGAACCTTACAATAGTATATACTTCCATTTTTCTGCTTCCTACCTTAGTTCAGTTGTTGTCATATATCTTATTTTTACAAGTGTTTCTGCACAATAAATGATTACTATTTTTGTTTAAGATAACCAATTTGATTTTTAAGTGATTTAAATAATGAGAAAAAACTTTCTGTGTTACCATTTCTAGTGTTCTATCTTTATTATTTTGTGTGTAGATCCACATTTCCATCTGGTATCATTTTCCTTCTTCCTGAAGGACCTACTTTACTATAATTAGTAGTGTGGGTCTGCTTGCAATAAACTACTTCAGCTTTTGAATGTCTGAAAGAGACATTATCTCACTTATGTTGTTGAAAGATATTTTTGCTGGGAATAAAATTCTAGGTTTAAAGTTTTTATTTTTCTTTCAGTATTTTAAAGATGCTGCTCCACTGACTTCTTGCTTGCATCATTTGTGATGATAAATCTACAGTCATCCTTATTTTTGTTCCTCTGAATGTAATGTGCTTTTTCCTCTGGCTTCTTTTTAAGATTTTCTCTTTATCACTCTTTTCAAACAATTTGATTTTGTTATACCTTGCTGTAATTTTCTTCATATTCATTGTGCTTGGGTTTTTATGAGCCTCTTAGATCTGGAAGCTTAGAGTTTTTGTCAAATTGGGGAAATTCAGAGCCATCATTTCTCCTAATACCTTTTCTGTCCCTTTCTCTTCTTTTTCAAAGACTCCAGTTACACATATATTGTGTCAGTTTTTATTTACTGATGATTTTATATCCTCATTAGGAGTTATATTTTCCTGCTTCTTTTCATGCCTGGTAATTTTTTATTGGATGCCAGACATTGTGAATTTTACTTAGTTGGTAAATGGTTATTTTTGTATTCTTCAAATTTGTTTTGGGACACAATTATCTGGAAACAATTTGATCACTTTAGGTCTTGCTTTTTAAATATTTATTAGGTAGTACTAGAACAGAGCTCGATCTAGGGCTAATTATTTCTAACTATTGAAGCAAGACCCTTCTGTGCATTCTATACAATTCTCCATGAATCTTGAGATTTTCTAGTCTGGCTGATGGAAACAGGCACCACTTGTGGCCCTGTGTGAGCATCAGACACTGTTAACTCTGATCATGTTAAGTGCTTTGTCTGACTTCAAGTAGTTCCCATATATATACCTCCTTATCAGTACTCAGCTGAACACTTGATTCGGACCCTTTGTCTATCTCCTGAGTTCTCTTTCTGTGAAACTCTTTCCTCTCTGTTACTGAAAACTCTTGCTACCTTTGTCTCCCTGAACTCTTAGATCTGTCTTCTCAACTCAGAGTCCACCAAGCTCTGTACAAGTTACCCCTTCCTGTGATGTGGCTGCAAATTCTCTGAAATTGATAAGCTGGGGTAATCATAGAGTTTATTTCCTTCATTTCCTATCTCTCAATGGTCACTGTCCTTCATTGCCTAATATCAAGTGTTTTGCCCACTGTTATTTCATAGATTTTTGTTTTCTTAGTTGTTTCAATCAGGGAAGTAAATTTGACCCCTTGGTCCATCATGGCCAAAAGGCAACATCTTATCATTTATCTTAAAAACACAGTCAGAAAATACTGCTAGTATAAAACACCAGACTTACAGTAATTTCTGTATTGACTTCACATAAAATATATGCCTACCTATTTCTTTACCTCATGTCATTTAAAAAAGATGGCATTTGATGACTCTGTATGGCTGAGTGAGACTCATGTTGCCATAACTGCATGATCCAGTGTCTCCCTGATATCTGGCCCAGAATTCTACACAATTACTCATGAACCATACCTGCCAGAAGCAACAATTCTGGTTTTTATCTGGATTCCCAATGATGACTAGAGTGATATAGCAAGGTGAGTATTTCACCATTTGCTACTTGAGTGACTTGTTGTTTTCTCATACAAGTCCCAAAACAATGTTTAAAGTATCATTTCCTTAAAAATCAAATTGCCCCCTTCTTAGTTTAAAAGGTTTTGTTAAAAATACCAAGTTATACTAAACTCTTCAAGTATCCTCAATTAAAATGTTATACAGTATAATAAAAGTCTACTTTTATCACCACTTGGAATGAACTAAAATATAATTGTCATTTATGTTTGTAAACCCTCTATGAATAAACCTTGCAATAGAACCTAACTCGTACCATGTATAGTGTTTTAATAAACTTTATTTTTTATAACAGTTTTAGTTTTACAGAAAAATTGCAAGGATAGTACAGAGTTACCACATATCCCATACCCATTTTCCCCTGTTATTAACGTTTTACATTAGTGGGTACATTTGTTACAATTAATAAACCAATATTAATATATTACTATTAATTAAAGTCCATGTTTATTCAGATTTCCTTACTTTTAGCCTAATGTTCCTTCTCTGTTCCAGGATCCTATCCAGGGCCCCCTATGACATTTAGTCATATATCCTCAACTCCTCTTGGCTGAGAGTTTCTCAGACTCTTCCTGTTTTTGATAGCTGTGACAGTTTTGAGGAGTACTGGTTAGACGTATTTGTAGAATGTCCCTGACTTGGAACTTGTCTGATTTCAGGATTATAAGTTTTGGGGAAAAATAACAGAAGTGCCATTTTCATTACATCATGTCAAGTTCACATATTATCACTATGACTTATCACTGTTGATGCTGATTTTGATCACCTGACTGAATAGTGTTTGTCAGGTTTCTCCACTATAAACCTACTCTTTTTTCCCTGTTTCCATATTGTAATCTTTGAAAAGAAGTCACTATGCAAAGCCCATACCTAAAGAGTGAAAAGTTATATTCTGCCTCCTTCAGGTCAGAGTACATAAATTATTTGGAATTCTTCTGCATGGGAGATTTGTATTTTCTCCCCCATTTATTTATTTGTTCAAGTATTTATTTATATCAGTATAGGCTCATAAATATTTATTTATACTTTGGGTTATAATCCAATACTACTTTATTTTCTTGCTCAAATTGTTCCGGCTTTGACCACTGGGAGCTCTTGCAGCTCCTGTGACTTACAATTTTTTAAACAACAATAAAACCTTCAACATGACTATTCTATGCAGTGACTAAATTACTCCTCAAGATTAAGATAGGCACTTAGGGAGATATATTAGTTTCAGGTAATGCATTAAAGGATATTCTGGTTGTCTGAAAGAATTCATCTGACAAGAAGTGAATTAAAGACTAGGGAAAAAGGGCCTATTACATAGTAAATATTTTAAGAAACTAATGAAATAGAAAAATAAACTGAAAAAACCAAACCTTTTAAAGCAAATCTATAAATGGCTTCACATGCTTTAGCCAAAATTTCTTCTTCTGGAGAATTAAGCATTAACACCACAGTTGCTGCTTCTTTGCTTTCAATCATTAATGGATCAAACTGAAATGTAGAGAGAAAAAAACGTCAAGTTCACATATGAGCTTTAAAAAACACGTAAAAAATGAATGGTGTCTAGAAACTTGAAGAGAACATAATCATACTAAAAGGATATGGTCACTGCCCACAAAGTGCATTGTAAAGTTTTTATTTAAAAAACATCACTGATAGATAGTTGCCAGTATTGGTGGCTTTCGAATTCCTGGGGTAATGGCAGGAAGAGCAAAGCATTTTGGAATCTGACAGACCTAGTCTCTCAACTTAGCCATGTGGAATCAAACAAGTTACTTAAGCTGCTAGAATTTCAGTTTTCCTTTCCTGTATAATGTGTATAATGATACCTATTCTTCCCGAAGGATCAAGGAGAGGATTAGAAATCATATATGTAATGCACTTAGCACACTGTCTGGCACATAACAGATGATCATTAAATAACATATACTAGCATAATTCTTGTTTGATACACAAGAATCCTTGAGTACCTGTATATATTAGATGCCCTGATAGTCCTAATATTCAGTACTTGCTTCTAATCACTATTCTTTCTGAGAAAGCAGAAATTACATATGTGAAATAACTAAAAAGCAATAGAAAACCACATATAACAAAATGTAAAATTGGATAAAACCTGAAACAGATTTTATGGTAATGGTAAAATGGTAATATGGTGTAAAGAAAAAGTATAGAGCTCTAGGAAGATCTCTATAGTGTTATGAGATCTTGAGAATTCATGGGTAGGCAAAATGTACAATAACAAATTCATGGCTCCTATGGGTTTTCTTTGGTCAAGGTGAAAACAAATTATTACACCATTTTTCTTCCATTTCCAGAGACTGGTGAAGGAGGGTGTTCTGCTTATGTTAAAGGAAAAAAATGAATTTCAAAGTTTTAGCTGGCTCTTTGTGTTGGCCCTTCCTAAATGGACATCTTATTGTGTCTGGGGATATAATTAAAATTGGTGTTCAGTTTCAGGCTGAGAATGGAGGGACAGATTACTCTAAGTAAGGAAGCATAATTGTGTGAGGTTGGGAGAGTGAAGAAGACAGAGAAGAGAGCAGTAAGCAATGACCTAAAAGGGCACAGCTGGGATAAAAATCCCCCTTGCAGGGGAAATGGCTGTTGGATTTCAGGACAGCATTATCTAACATCCAAATTAAAGCTGTTGTTTGTGTATGTCTTACTCTATACTAGAAACTCTAAGAGTTACAAAAGTCATAGTGTTTGTTCTCAAGCATCTTGGACTCTTTCTGGGGACATAAAACTTCACTAACATTCTGCCCGGGGTGCCTGGTGGCTCAGTCGGTTAAGTATCTGCCTTCGACAGGTCATGATCTCAGGGTTTTGGGATCGAGCCCTGCATCAGGCTCCCTGATCAATGGGAGTCTGCTTCTCCCTCTCCTTCAGCCACTCCCCCTGCTTGTGCTCTCTCTCTTTCTCATAAATAAATTTAAAAATCTTAAAAAAAAGAAAAAAAGTCTGCCACACGCACCAAGCTTGTGGCACTTGTGGTTTTCCAGTGACATGAACCAGTGAGAAAAGATGGCCCCTGTAGCGGAGCCCAGAGCAATGGCAAAGACACTGGCTTCAACACTGATCAGAAGAGCACAATGGCCCAGAAATCCACAGAAATTTTAAGGGAGGACTTCTGAAACTATTTGGGGATTGAGGCTTGAAAACCATCAGGCACTCCTAAAGTCAACAAGTATATTAACTATATATTTAAACAAATTACTTGGCAAATGCTCCAGTCAAAACTGAGGAAGACAAAATATAAAAACAATAGTAGTAGATCAATAAATACAATAAAATATATAGTTAAGCTGAATGATAGTGATGTTGTGAATCACAACGTAATTCTTAAGGATTTCTGAAGTAAAGATGACACATTATGAGAAAAAAATTAAAAATGACTTGGAATTAAAATTCTAGAAATTTTTCAACAAAGCTCATGTAAAGGAAACAGGATTGTTCTGGTAGAGAATGAGATTATTGCCCAGTTATAACTTATTTTTTACATTGATATAAAAAGCAGACTTAAATATGTGTTTAATAGACTACAGATAAGTAGAAGTTCCAAATTATCAAAAGGAAAGGGTAACAAATGAAAGTTGCTCAATTTAGAAAAAGGGAAGAAAGTACAAAAGAGACACAACATGAAAATATAGCAAAGAGACATCTTAAACTTAAAATAAACCTTAAACTTAAAATGATAGGAATAAAATCAAATATATCAATGACCAAAATAAACATCTATAGGGCCAATAGATTTCATTAATTAAGATTGTCAGATTGGGTTAAAAAGCAAAATCTACTGTTTTTTGTATATTGGTGCATATTTCTTCCACTTGATCTTACAGAATACAAATTCAGATCTAAGATATAGAACATTTCTATCTCCGCCTCACGCTCCTTCCCCCTCCAAAAAATCCTCAGAAAGATCATCGTTATGTGACTTTTAAAATCATCAGTTTTTCCTGTTCTTAAACTTTATATAAAGAGAATATATATGTATATTTATATATATAATATATATTCTATAACATAATTTATATAGAGAGAGAATCATAGAACATGACTTCTTTCACCTCTGCCTTGTTTAGCACAGCACATCTCTGAGATTCATTCACATTTTTGTACTACTAAGTCATACTTTCTATAGCTGTATATTATTCTGTTGTATGAAGGTTTGGGTTCTTTTCTTTCAGTTGGAGGCGATCATGAACAAAGCTGCAATGACTATTCTTGCACATGTCTTTTTGTGGATATGTGTCTTCATTTCCCTTGGGCACATGCCGAGGCATGGATTTGATGAGCCATAGGCTAGATATGTATTTACCTTTCACAGATGCTGTTGAACAGTTTTCTAAAGTGGTTTTATCAATTTATATTCCCACTAGTTATAAATAAGAGTTCCAGTTGTCCCACATCCTCACCAATCCTTGGTATTTTCAGTCTTTTTTAATTTGCCTTTCTATAGCTCTTAGATTATATTTTTAAGTCAATCTGCTTTTCATGGCTGTTGCAGTGGAAGAAATGCTCTACTGCTCTATATTACTACTACCGCATCCTGGCCAGAAACAGAAGCATTCTCATCACTTTTTAAAATTCTCTTTTGTCCCTTCTACTGACTCTGACTCAATACATCCGTCTATCTCTCAGCTTTGTCTTCTGCCATCATGCTTGATACTCCCATCGATTTTTCTTTGCTTCCTCACAGAGAGGTTTCCTGTAGCACCCACAGTGTTCAGTCTTTGAGGATTTCTTGGTAGCCAACAAGCAAATGGTGTAAGATAAAGCTTCACTGTTCAGCTACTCCCACTACAGCTATTCTTCCTCCTCACTGGGGTCCCCACGCCATTCACTCCCTCTATTTCCACTTCAGCTTTCTCGTTTCTTCACTTTACTTTTTATCCTGCTTAGATTTCATGATCTATTATCTTAATAACACTCCTGCCAAACCCTAAATAAACCTTTGTGTCCTTCTGTCTTCTCATCAAATCAATTTATTTATTTTTTAAGATTTATTTATTTGACAGAGATAGAGAACACAAGTAGGCAGAGCAGCAGGCAGAGTGAGAGGGAGAAGCAGCTCCCCACGGAGGAAGGAGCCCGATGTGGGGCTCGATCCCAGAACTCTGGGATCATGACCTGAGCTGAAGGCAGCCGCTTAACCAACTGAGCCACCCAGGCACCCCTCATCAAATCAATTTAAAATACCCAAACCATGAACAGACACTAGAAATTTCTTTCTTTGCATTTGTGCTCAAGCATCCGAGCATTCTAAGAGAATGTTAAACTACAGGGAAAATTAGTATTACTGTAAATTCATGATCAACAAATTCACAAGAGCCTCTGCACATATTCTTCTATTGTGTTAAAGAAAATGTGTCTCTTACTATCAGGAAAATAGCTAATGTGTGCTTTGGATTTTTAACCCATTCATCTTTAATTCACTCATTCATTCAATAAACACTCATTCAACCCCTAATAAGTGCATTATACTGAGAAGAGTGCATTAAACAGGATAACCAAGTCCCCCATTCTCATAGAACATACATATTCCCAGTTATGTCATACCATTAATCATCCCTTTTTTCTCTTGAGTAGTCACCTTCCTCCTAACAATTAAATTATTCCCATTACTTCGTTTGAGTCCACTTTACAGAGGGCCAATTTAGATTCAGTAAAATGCACCTAACTATGATGAGTTTTAATAAATGTATATGTATGTATAACCAATGATATGTGGAACTTTCCATTACCCCAAAATATTTGCTCCCACCTCTCTGCAGTTGATTCCCTTTCCCATATCCACTCTAGGCAACCACTAATCTGCCTTTCACTATAGATTAACTTTGCTTAATACGAAATTATTACATCGGTACCCTTTATGTATGGCTCCTTTCATTTGGCAGAATGCTTATGAGATTCATTCAGATTGTTCCATGTATCAGTGATTCATTCCTTTTTACTGATGAGTGATATCTCATTGTATGAATACAACACAATTTGTTTATCCATTCAATTAGCTGATGGACCTTTGGGTTGTTTCCATTTGGGACCATTATGAATAAAGCTGCAATGGGCATTTTCATATAAGTCTTCTTGTAGATATATGCTTTCATTTCTCTTCAGTGAATACCTAGGAGTAGAATTTCTGGCTTGTCCGGTAGTGAATGTTTAACTTGACAAAAAAAAATAATTTTTTTTCCAAAGTAGTTTTACTATCTTGTGTTCCCACCAGCAATGTATCTGTATCCAACAATAGATATCTCTTCACTTATTTGTCTTCTTTGTCTCAGCAATATTTTATAGTTTTCAGCATATAAGCATTGCATTTATTTTGTTAAACTTATCTCTAAATATTTCATTATTTTTGATGCTAATGGCAAATGATCTCTTTTTTTCTTCATGTATTTTAAACAAGTGTGATTAGGTGAACAACATTTAGGATCATTTTTTCTCTTACAAATGAACCTTTTCATTAAGATGATATGTATCTT